AATCTCAGAGAAATAAATCCATAAAAGAAATCACGTAAATTTTTTTAATGTTTTATAAAATAATAATAATATTACAAATGTAATTATATTTTAATACTATCATAATATCAAATATAAAACTGTCAAAAACATATTTATAAAATTATTATTTATTATACACATTTAATAAATGCTAACTTAAACAATAATATAACACAACTTAAAGCAGAAAAAGTTTTCAAACCTAAAGACTGTTGATTTAAGTACATTTTGCAATTCTATTTTTTTAATATCTTATTTCACTGTTTACCTGATTTACTACTCTTTAATAAAAAATTATTGAAAATAAAGTTTTAATATATATAAAAAAAAGTACAGAATCAATATGTTGTCTTTTTTATTAGATAATGTCCAAGCATTAAATCTTCTGAAACTACTGCTGTTGTGTGAATAATTATTGTTGTATTTATTAATTAAAAAAAAAAATTAAAAATATAATTTTGTTTTAATGTCATAAACAATTATATGAGTAGGTAGATAATTAAGAAGCTATTAAATACATAACAAGGAAGCAACAAGAATTTAAAACAAGAATTCTAATTTGATGAAAAGAAACAAAACAGAATAATTACCATAAAAAAACATTTTAACTGAATATAACCAATACAAATAAAATAAATAGAAAAAAAAAACTCAAGACTAAATTATTTTTATTATTTAAGGCTAATTTAATTTTAGTTAACAAATTTTTCATTAAGTTGAAATATCTTACACAGATAAATAATTATTTAATCATTTGTCAAATATAGCATGTTTCAAATATACAATATATAGCAAGGAAGCAACAAGAATTTAAAACAAGAATTTAAATTTCATGAAAAAAAAACATAAAAGAATAATTACCATTAAAAAGTATTTTTAACTGAATATAACTAATACAAATATAATTAATACAAATAAAAAAACTCAAGACTAAATTATTTTTATTATTCAAGACTAATTTAATTTTAGTTAACAAATTTTTCATGAAGTTGAAATATCTTACACAGATAAATAATCATTTAATCATTTGTCAAATATAGCATGTTTCAAAGCTAAATATATATTTGAACCAATCTTATAACCCCATAATGGGCAATAACCAGCTAAATTGTCAATTGGTATAGAATAAGGTCTACTTGCCGAGTCGCATTTCACTAGTACCAACCCATAATTATATTTCCATTCAGAATGGTATTTTTTTAGCACAAGGCAAAACTGATTTTGACCAGAAAAAACAGATAAAATAATTTTTCCAAATATAAAAACTCTCTCGTTGTGATGTATTAAAACAAACTGATCTCTAGTATATGTGGTCCCCTTATATGTCATTTTAAATGAACAAAACTTCTCTGTGTATGGAATAGCAGCAATTGCTTCTGTTATTTCAACTGAAAACATAGAGCCATCAAAACAAACAGCATCTGAACCACCGTCATTATTATTAGAAAATGAATTTTTGCTACAGACGCATAAACTGCAACAGACTGCAACAGTTGATGAGCCCCTGCTAAATGTTTTGTAATATTAATAAAAATTTGAGCACTTCTAGCAGATCTTTTAAAGAACATGTGCTTACTCTCCATTCTTAATGTCCATAGTCTTATTTGAGGTCCACACTTCATAATTAAAAATGGGTAATGATACATGTAGTGGTGTTTAAGACGAAGTGGAATATCATGGAATAATTTTTTTCTTTGTTCAAGGTACTCATTAATTAAGTGTTGCAAAAATAAGATTTGAGAAAATGAAACTTTACTTGCACAAATGAGCTCTGTTATTTCTCTTAGCAAAAGTATAAGCTGCCATACAGCATGATTAAAATCAAAAATTCGATCCATCAATAGCAGGGGAAGAAAACGTAAAAAAACCCAATTTTGAACGGCATGACCTTTTAATTTGTCACATTTAGATGTTAATAGCGCTGGACAATCTGCTCTGTCATCACCACGGAAAGAAAATCTTCTTATTGCACCATTAATATGTAAATAAGTAAAACAGCCATCCTTGACTAGTTTTTTTATTGACAAAGCTAAATCATATTGAATGACACCTTCAAACAAATCATGTGCAATACAAGCCGGTAAACCTGGTGCACAAACATGATAGGAATCCAATTCATTGAATAGAGTCTCTTGTTACACCAAAAACAAACCGATCTTCAGGTTTTACCTTTAAAGTTATAATACAACTTTTATGATGCTCAACAGACCGTATAACAGCTGTATAAGGTAATGTTTGAAGCTCATTGGCTTTTTAAAAGACGAAACCTACAAATATGGCTTTTCTTAGAATTAAATCCAAGTGAATATCCACCTAAAAAATGACTACCTAAATTATCTCCCAAAATAGCAACTACACCAGCTTTATACTGTTTTATACCAACTAGAATTCCGTCAACTTCAAGACTTTTCAAGTCTCTTATTAATTCTTTAAAAACTGTAACTTGAGAAAAAGACTTCAAATCTTTATCCCGACATAATTGCACAAGATAAATATTATTTAAGATGGTTCTAAGATGAGGTGGCAAATTTGCAACGATCATGTATGTACCTGAAATTTGATGTTTATTTCTTCCAGAGCCAAGGGGATTAACTAATTCAAAACTATCTTGATATAAAATCAGATGCAATGAATTTGGATGCTTCTGAAAAAACGGGTTGTTCAGAAATGCTTCTCCATCAAAATAATCTGAATATGAACAAGAACTTGGATCGATATTGGCCTGTTGAGAGATTAAAGAAGCAAAATTTGAATTTTGACATATTCTTTTTAATGTTTCTTTAATTCGAGCATAATATGTGTAGCATTCAAAACCATGTTCGTTTCTTCCTAAGAAAATTTCCAAAGGTCCAACAAAATTCATATTTTTTTTTCGTATTCTTTTCTGATATACATAGATCGCAATAAGCCTCTGTCTTTAGAAAATCCAATTACAAATGGATCTTTCATTTTCACTGCTTAAATAATGTTATGTTCTTCTTTTTCAAGAATGTAATATGACAATTTCTCAATTATTATCCTTTCTGTTTGATATTGATTTATTGTGTTCAGATTTAACATTTCAGTCACAATAAACTGAATTGCTGTTGATGGAATATGATATTGGCATTGTAATTTTAATAGAAATAAACCAATGTTATGAATCATATCATTAATATTAAATTCATTTGCATCAATGTTTTTAACAATATTTAAATGATCGTGATTAGTTTCTGAGGATGAAATATTTATTTGGCTTTGCTCAAATGTTGTTTTGTGGATTTGATGACATCTGATAAATGAGATGTGAATGAAGAAACAACTTTGTAACGGCGAGTACATTCTTCATATGGACATTTAATAGAAACCCTTTTTTTAATATGTAGTTTTAAATGCACTATAAGTTCATTAAAAGGTAGTTCAACTTGACAAGTCAAAACTGAACATATTCCTATCTTTTCTATATTAACAAAGTTATTTATTGATTTTGTAATATTGCCAACAACATGGATACAATGAATATGTGAAGTAAAAGCCCTGAAAGTACTAAAAGATTTTTTGCATCCAACAATTCCGCACGGAATTTTATACGCACAACTGTGAACACTGTAATGCTGTGCATAATACTGCAAGGAAGTAGTCTTGAACTGACATAAACTGCACAAAAGCATTATGACATATACAGATGAATAATATTATTCTAAAAAAAAAAATATTATATGATAATGTTATTTTATTATAGAAATGTTAATTAATTACTTTTTTTATTTTCTTAAAACAACACACACAACACACACACACACACACACATATATATGTATATATGTGTATATATATATATATATTATATATATATGTATATATATATATATATATATACATATATATATATATATATATATATATATATATATATATATATATATATATATATATATATATATATATATATATATATATATATTATACATACATATTATACATACATATTATATTTATATATAATATATAAATATATAAAAAAGGTGGCGGGATGGTTTTCAATAATTTCAAAATACTCACCTGTCTAGTCAATGTTATATTTGGAAAGGTATGAAAAATTGGCGGGATTGTGTGCAATTTCTTAAGAAGTAGTATATAATATATATATATATATATATATATATATATATATATATATATATATATATATATATATATATGTATTTATTAATTATTTCTAGAATACACAATAATATTTATATTAATAAATAAAAATTACAAAATAGCAATGCTGCATATTTATGTAACTACATATGAAGCATTGCTATAAATTAACGAAAATGTCTTAAGAACAGTGTAAGGAGCGGTTTATTTGTAAAAACTAAAAAATACATAATTTCTTCAACTAAAAGTTTCTAATTTTGTGGCTCAGTAGGAAGCCAGATGAATTTGCTTCATCTTCCTGGTGAAGAAGGAAAATTAAAATAGAATATAGTTTTTTGACTATATTCTATTTTAAACGTTGTTGCAAACATTTTTTACTATTGCAAACGTTTTAAAAAATCCTTGTTGCAACAAGGATATATTTAGCAATATACGCATAGCTTTTTATGAAACCATTACAACTTTTTCGTAAATAATCGAAGGAGGTGCAATTGTCAAGTTTTATAAATAAATCTCTTTCTTTTTGGAGGCAATGTGTACCCAAAAATGTGAGCCCAAAAATATCTTTGAAAAATCACAACTAATGGCGGTTTAACGTGTTAACTGCAGTTCTTAATACAACGGAAAATTCCGTATTTAAAAAATTAGCAGCAAAAACGGAAAACTTCCGTACATAATACATCTGTACAACCATACATGGATATACGGATACTTCCCGTCGAAATAACGTGATATATTTCCGTTTTTAAACGGAATTTTTTAACAGTGCGTGATAAACTTTCATTCACCGGGATCTGATAACACTTCATACGCGGGGTCCTCTTCATTCACTGTCAATTGTGGAACTTCGAGAT